CATATGGCATCGTTTTCTAGCAAAATCGTGTTTCTGAATTTATGGATGTAGATTATAGTTGAATAATTAGTTTCCAGCTTGTTGCAAATGTTCTCTGTAAAGAAATAGAGGGAGACAATTTAATGCTAATTTTAAACTTGATTTTGTGTAATTCAAAAATACATTTAATATATATGTGCTGGCCAGTAAATCCTGATAGTTATGATCATAATCTTAAACTTTCTACTCTACTATGAGAGAAAAAGACCTTGTGATTGTTGAATACATTTGGTTCTTAAAAGGATAGTTTGCCCAGAAATGAAAATTCTCTTATTATTTACTCTCTCGTGCTGTTTTAACCCTATGACTAACCATTAGGCAAGGGATTTTCAACCTTTTAGGACATGCGCCCCCCAAAATTTCCCTCATTTCACTGCTCCCAACCCACGACCCCTCCCTCGTCATATTACTGTATGAAGTAAATATACACGCATAGCCATTAACTTAGTTAAGGGCAGCGAGTGATTTTTCTTTTGCTGTTTGATTAAAATTATTATCATAAGAAATGCACGGATCTGTGATACTGATGTACATTCGATATTTTCTTTACAGTTTACCTTCACTTAAGACATAACCACGTTACCACGGGGCAGTTGTGGCCTAATGGTAGAAAGTCAGACTTGTAACCCAACCCAGCAAGGATTGTAGGTGGGGGGAGTGAATGACCAGCGCTCTCTTCTACCCTCAATACCACGACTGAGGTAAGACCCTTGAGCAAGACACCGAACCCCCAACTGCTGCCCTCTGCTCCGGGTGTGTGTTCACAGTGTGTGTGTGTGTGTGTGTTTGTTCACTACTCGCTGCTGTGTGTGTGTGTTTGCATTTGGATGGGTTCAATGTGGAGCACAAATTCCAAGTATGGGACACCATACTTGGTTACACGTCACTTTCACTTTATATGTGACTTTCTTGTGTATAACACAAAAGGAGAAATTTAGCAGTTGTTCAAGCTGCTCATTCCCATACAGTCTTTGGTCCCCATCCGCTTTCATTATATGGAAAACATCGGCTTGGACATTCTGCTAAATTTTCGTGTTCAAATATGAATATGGGTCAAATGGGTTTGGAACGACATGAGGGTGAGTAAATGACATCATCTGAATTATCCCTGATGACCCAACCACAGGAGCACAAAATGTGATTACATTTGCTAAATCTCTCCAACTGCAGCCTGCGAAAGCTCTCTCGAGTGTCACTAACAGGAGAATTATTCTCTTCAATAAGTAGCAAATGAGCTGCCTCGCTTAAATCCAGACGCTTGCGCTCGTTCTTTGGAGATTTCTCTTTGAAAGGACTTTGGAGGTAAAGAATGGGATAAGCTTGGATTGCAGGAGGGGAATACATTGCTCTTTCTGAAATCATTTCAAACTGCTCATGTGAAATGTGAATCCTGATCGCATGACACTCTGTTAGTGTTGACTGCTGGTTTTCATGTTCAGGGGAACAATGTAAGCTGATTTGTATGATTATGGCTGTGTTCGGAATAGCATAATACTATACAAATTTTCTGTTTGCATGTAGAGCCTACTGGTTGCAATCAAAAAACATTAGGTCATCATTCACCCCCAGAAAATAAAAGATATGAAACGAGACATTTTATTTTGCATAATGTAAAGCCTATTTAAGGACCATTGATATATTTTTAATGACAATCAAATTTCCCTCTTAAAAAATGCTGAAAGGAATCCTGATGTATTATAATTTCTTGGGCATTCATTCGTTCGTTCATTCAAAGTTTGGGGCAGATTTAGATTTTGAAAGTGTTTCTGAAAGGAAGTCTCTTATACTTACCAAGGTTGCATTTATTAAATATGCAGTAAAAACTGTAAAATTGTAAAAAAAAAAATTATAACAATTTAAAATACCTGTTTTTATTCTAATGCAATTTAAAATGTAATTTATTCTGTGATGCAAAGCTGAATTTTCAGCATCATTACTCCAGTCTTCAGTATCACATGATCCTTCAGAAATCATTCTAATATGCTGATTTGCAGCTCAGGAAACATTTTGTATTATTAGCAATATTGAAAGCTGTTGTGCTGCTTTAAATGGGTCATAGGATGCCCATTTTCCACAAGTTGATATGACTCTTTAGGGTCTTAATGAAAAGTCTGAAACATAGTTTGGTTAAAATCTCAGTGGTAGTGTAAAAAACACCTTTTTTTTTTTACCCTGTCAAAAACAACTCTTTTCAGAGCATGCAGATTTGTAGCATTTTCCTTTAAATGTTAATGAGCTCTGCTGAGCCCGCCCCTCTCTTCCGAGCTGCTCTCAGAGAGACTGTTTACTTTAGCCGCATTCATCGTGAAACTTGCTAATTAGCACATTATTAGGAAAGGCGATTTGCAAAGATTCGTTAAAAAAACCTTACACACTTCTTCTGTAGGTGAAGCTGAATCACGAATGATTCGCGCGAACATAGATGTATTTATGTAGATCGGGGTGCATTCCCTTCAAAAACAAACATAATCCACTGCGTCTTCAGTGGCTCAGATGTCGGGAGTAAACGTTCATTATTACGTCCTACAACAGAACACCTCAATCGCTTAGGACTCATTCTTGTCCACATCTGATGATAGCTCACTCAGGGCGAGTCTGAGGTAAGACGCCAGTCCAGTCTGTGCTGAAACGCTGCTGTCAATCAAACTATCATGGGAGGGGTAGTGTGACGTCACACAGACCGGCATCTGAGATCGGCTCGATTTGAGAAAGGGGTAAAGATTTTTCTAGATTAACAAAAAACCACTGTGGATTTTTATCATTTTAGGGTGGTTGTGTACACACACTGCCAACACACATTTCAGTTCAAACAACTAAAAGTACATGTAGCATTATATGACCCCTTTAAGGTTTCATAAGATTTGCCAAAATGTGCAGTATATAATATGGCAAACAGCAAGGAATACAGACTCAGTCTTCCATTTCCAGGTTGATGAATAAACCAGCTGTGAATTTTTTTTTTGATTTTTTTTTTCACATTTTTCCATAAATTGGAAAGCAAGCAGTACACTAGTATTCCACTCCGAACACAGCCCATATCTGTTCATTGTGTCTATTTCAAATGAAATGATCAATAATCTGAATGAAAGTGTTGCCGTGAATACAAGACCCAAAACCTCAACACATATCTGAAGAGAAAACACGTGGCCGGTCCTCTCTGGTTTAAGCCAGTCCTCACACCCAGCCTTCTGTTCTTCTGCGTAAGCCACACAGACAGAGTATTGATATGAGCCATTTTTCACCCAGCAATCTGCCTGAGCTCTCTTCCCCATGGCCAAGGTTAATTAGCAGTCATTAAAGAAGAAATATACGCTTTCCTCCTTGGGCGGGAATGAAAAACGAAGGTGTGGATGACTCGTAGATGGCAGCGGAGTGAGAGGACAGTACGTTAGCCTGTCGCCATGGTGACCGAGATGAGGAGGCGATGGTCACCAATGTGAGGATGTTTAATTGTTCTGAGATTCCTTCAGGTGCCTTTCAACACGCTTGATTAATGGTGCAATCCATCCTGACAATGAGGGCTTTTGAATATGAATGGCCTCCCGACCCTTCCTCTACACTGAAAGTAAATAGAAGTATTAACTTTTACACTCTTCTATGCGTTTGAAAAATGAGATTGCCCCATTTCAATTCCACTGCTCATTGTGTACTCCTATACTTGGTTTGGAAATGAATGGGAGGTTTTGTTCTTCAGATCAGATACTAACAGTCTAATACACGTCCTTGGGAAATGCATACAGTCTGTAACCTTATTAAAGCCGAACTGTTGCAATGTCGTTCTGAACTCGGATCACGTGGAGTCCCAAATGACCAACGGCTGAGGGAATCAATGTTTTCTAGACCCACAATTCTTCATTCCTGACATGATGACTTATTCAGTTTCTGATAAGGACACTATCCTGTCAGACAGTACAGTACACTAACAGACATGACTGCTCGCCTGGCCTTGCATGCATGTCATACTTCTTAATGAAAGGGAATTTAAAGTCGACATGAACCATGCTGTCAACCCTTTTTTTTTTTGTAATGTGATCTTGTCAACCAAATTACTGTTTGCAAAAAGCTTTTTTTTAATTGTCTACAATAGTGAAAAAAATGAAAGATGTGCATCATGATGCTTTAACTGAAAATGACTGGAAATGATTAAAAACATTGCAAAATGTTACCAATGAACTAACAATGATTTGAAGAACATCTTAGAAAAATAAATTTCAGTAATGACCAGCTGAATGAAAACGAGTAAACTGAATTGTTTTGTTTAATGTACTTACCCTTTCCTGTTTGGTGAGGCAATCATCTGATGATCATATATAAAATGTTTGAATATTTGGTTTAATTTTTGCGATTCTTGTCAATTAAATTGTCAACAGAAATTAGAAGGTATTTTAAAATTAAAAAAGGTAAAATTAATTAAAATTAAATGAATGAATACATTTGAAAAATATTTGTTTTAACAAAGACCATGTCTAGCAAAAAAAAAGGTGTAAAATGTATGTAGTCCCATATGAAATATGGGAGAAAAACTGATATTGTGGCCAATAATTAAGAATTAATTCCCAAAACTTATAATTTTGTTGCCACGTTTTACTAATTTGTGCACAAGGAATTTAATAAAAATTCTCAATTCATGGCTATGATATCTTGTTTTTTTCTAACCTGCATGTCATGTGTGGGGCTCCAGAAAATAAATTAAATTAAATGTGACACATTTACATGTTAAAGTCAGGGTAGGTGATTTGGTTCAAAACCATTTTTTGTTATGCTGGCTGCAAGTCTCTTCACATCCCAGTAGCAATCCCTAATTAAGGGGTCTACATGTACTTCTATGGTCTGTGGACCATAAAATGTTCATCCAATCTTATCCCTCCGTCCAAGGGCTGTCCTACCTGCCTGTCAACATATGTATTAGCATACCTCCATGCACCCTGTTCACACAGACATGATACGTCATCAGCGCGTTCCATTACTCTATTGCAGACCGAGCGAGAATGGACTGTGTTGTTATTGTAATATCATGTGCTTTGTACTGTACTGTTTTCTCATCGGTGAATGAGACATGAGGTAATCTGACAACATTGCATTCAACTCTCCATCAACGCCGTCTCTCATCGTGTCGCTGGTTAGCCTATGCTCTGCCTGTGTGCGTTCAGGTGTTTTTGGAGGAGGCGTGGCTTTGGAGAGTGATTATGCAGGGAGGGTGGGATCTTATGCTTTCAAAGATAGCTTACTATTGCTATAGTCTCTCCGAAATTGCCTACCCTACCTTTAAAGATGATATTGAACCAGTAAGGAAAAAAAAAGATGGAATTATCAATCAAGAATTTAATGGATTGCAAAACAGATTTTTAACTTTGTGATAACAGACCAATCAATCCCAATAAGACTAGGAAGGTGTAGCATGAAAGTAAATATAGGGTCAGTTTTGATTTCATGTCAACTTTAAGCCTGAACCGTTTAAAGGGAAAGAAATCTAAAAGAAAAGCCTGTAGAAAAAAGGCACCCAACTCTATATCATAGCGGCACATAAAAGCGGTAAATAGCCAAAGTTGTGACCAATATGCTAATGAATGTAATATGAGGACCAAAATAACCATCACTGTACAGTAATGTGCTCATTAGAGACGGCAAGCTGTTGATTTACTCGACACACAAGAGGTTAAATACGTTTTCTATCACTACTATAATATGGAGCTCTTCATCATCAATGGCTGATGTGTAGTTTGCTGTGATTGGGCCACAGGTCATGCGACACGGCCAGTGTGGTCCATCGTTTTTCCTGTGGATGTTTTCCTGAATGCCCTGAGAGCGAAAGTGCTGAGAAGAAAGATCCCACCACACCAATTAAACCACATCAAATTATCTAGACTCCGTGATTGGCTGCTGGAGGGAGGATAATGGCGTAAAGAAATCGAAAGTGTGAAAATAAAGGAACCGAATACACAAGATAGCGACAAGTATGGCGCGATATTGAAGTGTAATATCTTAATGTCAGCCCTGTCAGAGACCTGATCCTGGTTCGGAGCTGATAATGGCGGTGAGCTCGGAAAAACGCTCTTGCTTCTTTTTCACAACGCACCTTCCTGGTTTATTTCAGGTTTATGCAGGGTGGCAGGTTTCTCCTTATCTCAGTGAGTCTACACAGGAGCCAAAGACACTCCTGGTGGCCCGGCGTCTCTGGTTTTCCAGCTCATGGCGGGGTATGAGTCCTTCAGCTGAGGCAGCTGTGGATCGAATCTCAACAACTCGCTTCAAACGGCTCAAGCTTCCAGTTCTGGAACCATCTTGTCCATTCCGTCCTCAAGTTTGTGTCAGTGTGCCAAACAGACAAGCACCAAAGAGTTCATGTTGGTCGATGGGAATACTAAAAGTTCATTTGATTGAGGATGAGAGGTGGGCTTCACAACTTTTGTGATTTGATGGCTTACTTGTTTTGTCTCAGAGCACTTTGGGGAAGACAAAACAAAATGAGAGTTAAAAGAACATAGACCTCATTTCCTCAAGGAACTATAACTATTGCTTGCAAGGCAGTAAAAGAACAGTGTGTGCTTAGGGCACTAAATGGGCATCTTATTGTCAGTCGGCTGCACACAGGAATCAATAGACACACTATGTTCCAAGACCTAGTGAACTGCCTAGGCAGCAATTGAAGGCATCATAGGTGTGCTACTGACACAAAGGCTGTTCCAAAAAGTGAGCGGGATAATTATATTAGCATCGCATGTATCCTTTGTGGACAAGAATACATTGCTGTGCATTGATGAGCAGTCCAATAAATCCAAGATGGCGGACAAAGTGAGAGAAATGTCAATTATAAGCATACTTATAATTCACTTAATACTGAGAAGTATAGCTACAGATTGTTTAAAACGAATAAAAATTAACTATGTAATCCAACCTTTTTTTTGTGATATGCTTATTAGAGTGTTATGACATTATGCCAGGAAGACAAACCCATCTAAATTCACAATTCATTGTGCTAATGTTAGGAACCAATGACCAATTGCAGTTAAGTATACAAATATAAATGACAACATTACTGCAAAGGTTGTTTTTCAAACTTTAATCCAAAACTTATTTAAATAAATTGTAAAATATGATCATTTATATAATATATTGTAATGTAATATAATATGAAAATATGTTAAATATACATTTAAGATGAATTAGATTACATTTATACATACACTACCATTCATAAGTTTGGGGTCAGTAACATTTTTTATTTTTTATTTTTTATTTTTTTTACAGAAGTCTCTTATGCTCAACAAGGCTGCATGTATTTGGTCATGTACTGTTAAATGATTTACAGTAATATACAGAAATATAATAACTTATAATATCTGTTTCCTATGTGAATACATTATAAAATGAAATGTATTACTGTGACACAAAGCTGTATTTTCAGCTTCATAACTCCAGTCTTCCGTGTCATATGATCCTTCAGAAATCATTATAATATGCAGATTTGCTGCTCGAGAAACATTTCTGATTATTATCAATGATAAAAACAGTTTTGCTGCTTCATGTTTTTGTGAAAACCGTGATTTTTTTTCAGGGTTCTTTAATAATTGTCTGTCACATTTGATCAGAGTATTAATTTCTTAAAAAAATAATAATAAATCTTACTGACCCCAATTTTTTTTTTAATCTTATTATACTATCTATCTATCTATATATATATATATATATATATATATATATATATATATATATATATGTATATGTATTAAAAAAATGTGTATAAAGAGAAACAAAACAAACAAACAAAGATAGTACATATTAGACTGAATAGAGTCCGGATGTTAAGCAGTCCAGGCTTTCAGAAGTTTAATATTTTGGTTTGGCAGTTTAGAACAAATCTGAACTACAATGAGGAATATCAATACAGTGCTGCCTTGCAAGTACTGTTATTAAATTAATTAACATGTCCCATGTTTGCAACCGTAACATCCTATCAATAGTCAGTTAAATAAATTGTATTAGAAAAGAAAACAATAAAATGTTTAAAAACTACCAAACAACAAAAGATCAAACTTCATGTGATATTTTTGTATTTTCAATTCTGTCAAGCAAGCACACAAACAAGTGAACATACCTGTCCTGAGGCTAAAGCCTATTATTGCCGACAGGGGAAGGTGTAATTAGACCTTGCTGCGAAGTAGTCCCCCCGTAGTGTGCTCTGGGGTACTGCACTCTGACGAGGTCTTGGCTTTGTCCTTGTTATTGTTGGGCTCATTGTCTTTGATGATGTCGTACTGGCGGCAGAACAGAGCTATCACACCTGTGTACAAACAGGCATGAGGAAGTGAGAGAGAACAACCATTCAAAGAGTTGAAGACTGGATGGCAGATTGATGGATGGAACCTTCTCGAAAAAATGTAATGATGGATTGCACCATGATTCTTCCCCAAATAATAACATGCCAATTATAGCTAGACTAGAACCGGATGATGAGCTGTGCTAGTACTGTCCTGTTTGATGATTTATTCTCTAGACTTCTCAGAGATTTGATATGGATTATAAAAAGATAAGTAAGGCCTTTAAGACCCAATTATAACATTAGAAACTCTCTCGTCTTTTCTCTGCTCTAGAAGAAAGGAAGGGTTTATGACCAAAGACTACAGATCTTGAAAACTTTATAAGTAAAACTTTGACATTTGTATCAAATCCCTATGTACCATCATTTGCATAATGTACAAAGAAAGAGTTAGAAATTTCATAAAAGTTGCAGAATGTGAATGAATGAAATGAGATTTGAAATGTGTTTTTCACTCAGAAATTGCTTGTAAGTTTCACAATGACACCGCAACAATTGCAAAGAAATGGCAAGTAGCACATTAAACGTGATTAAATAGTATTTTCTTCTTTTAATTACAACTATATACAGTATATCAAATATCAAATGTATTCAAAAATGAATAAACTTTATTCAAAAATTTTAAAGCAGTTGCAAAAATTTTACAAGAAGTTTTCTGTTGTGAAAATGTATTCTATAGTATGGTATGAAAGTATATATATATGTGTGTGGGACGACTGATCCGTGTAAACGAAAGAATGAATGGGGCCATGTATCGTGAGATTTTGAGTGAAAACTTCCTTCCATCAGCAAGGGCATTGAAGATGAAACGTGGCTGGGTTTTTCAGCATGACAATGATCCCAAACACGCCGCCCGGGCAACGAAGGAGTGGCTTCGTAAGAAGCATTTCAAGGTCCTGGAGTGGCCTAGCCAGTCTCCAGATCTCAACCCCATAGAAAATCTTTGGAGGGAGTTGAAAATCCGTGTTGCCCAGCGACAGCCCCAAAACATTACTGCTCTAGAGGAGATCTGCATGGAGGAATGGGCCAAAATACCAGCAACAGTGTGTGAAAACCTTGTTCGTTTGACCTCTGTCATTGCCAACAAAGGGTATATAACAAAGTATTGAGATGAAATTTTGTTATTGACCAAATATTTATTTTCCACCATAATTTGCAAATAAATTCTTTAAAAATCCTACAATGTGATTTTCTGGATTTTTTTTTTCTCATTTTGTCTCTCATAGTTGAGGTATACCTATGATGAAAATTACAGGCCTCTCTCATCTTTTTAAGTGGGAGAACTTGCACAATTGGTGGCTGACTAAATACTTTTTTTCCCCACTGTGTATATATATGTATGCTTAGCATATCAGTAGTTGATACACACACACATATATATAATTTAAAGTAATTATACTGTTTTACTGAGATATAAATCAAATGGGAATCACAAAAAAATCCCTCATTTAAAAAAAAAAGAATAAATAAAAATTCTCCATAATATTTGTTAACAATATGCAAATAATTAAAATTTACTTTTTGTGTTGTGGAAATGTTACTATTTATAGCTTTTTAAAATATATATTTGTATTTTATATATTTATTAAACTTTATAAATAAACGTTATTGTGAAACTTTTTAAAAGCTATAAACGTTTTGTGTTTTAGAAATGTTGTATTCTTTAGCACTGATTCTATGACCTTCATATCCTGTGATTCATTTTGATCTGTTGATCAAAGTGTGAACACAAGAAATCACACTCAATCTGACATTTTCAAATCTAATCAAATGTAGGTGTTTTTGCAAATGTTGAAATGCATTTGTGTGAATGTAGCCAATGTGTCAACAGTAAGACGATTCTCACCGGGAAACTGCTTGTTGGTCGCTGGTCACATTCTTACCTGCCCACATGACGAGAACCACCACAATGATAATGAGCTCTCCAGCCCTGAGCTGGGCGGCCTGGCCAACCTCCTCCATGGTCACTTCATCTGTGTGAATTCAGACAATCACAGTTCATTCGCATATTTTCCCAGCCAAAAACATGCACAGCTCTGCAGTTATCAAAGCTCAGGCATCGTGACAACATGCAAACCACAGTAGAATTATCCAAGGAATTAATTACAATGTCTAATTAATTCTTTAATTAGCCTCAAGAGAATGTAAAGCCTAAAGCAAACATTCTTCTCTGGCTCAGATATGACCAAACCTTCATACTTCTTGTCAAAAATCACTGGCTGCTTCCAGCCAAACCAAAGTGGAAGCTCATCAGAAGCCATAGAGGATCACTTCAGGGTTGAGCTCTCCTCTCACTTGGACGAGACCTCAGGGGTCACTTTCTTGTCCGGAGATTGAATGCGTCCAGTAATTAAGGCCTTATTAGTTAAAAGAAACTGTACGCTGCGCTCTGCTCTGTGTTCACTGATTAACCGCAGAGGGAAAAGCAAAGTTCTTCAACGAAGGAGCAGAAGCGCAGTGTTTCTCTTTGTGCGCCTCTTCATTCTCTGAAGAAAACGTCGATACCCTTCAGGTGAAACTGAAATGTTATTGGACGTCTCGGGCGTTTGAGTGCAGGGGAAAAGTTGGAGCATTTTTCAGCTCACCATCGACATCAATACATGTCATGAGTCCAGAAAGAAAACCAACATGAAGCCACCCTGAAGCGATGGAGAGGGGAGGCCCGCAGAGAGAAAGATTAACTGTCTGTGTTTATTAGCCACTCTGCTATTTAGTGAAGCGTAATGGTGCTCGCTTGATTAATTAGAGTGTAACCTGAGCACTAATGCCTGATGATTAAACTGTTTTTTTTTTTGTAAAGGCTCCTGCTATCTAACTTGACACGCGTGCCAGCTAAGAGTTAGCCATCTGTAAACCACTCTCTGCTGCGCTCAAGCACAGACCACTTCTACCACTGATGCATCACAAATGACAATAGTGCAGAGTTAATTTGTATATGCAGTGTGTTCCAAAACTTGTGAAAATGCTTCTATTACTTCGATATGCATTCTATTGTCAGCATAACTATTTGATTTTTTTATTTTTATTATTATTATTTTAAAAGTGTGTTAAGTATGTTGCTGAAATAATGTAAGCAAGAACTTCGGACTTAGAAAGAGTTCAGAATATGTAATGTGTTATACTAATTTTACACTTTTCTTTGTTTAAAATGGTTCAAAATAGTAAAATGTGGTTCAGGGTTCACATTAGATTGAGTTTGTTGGGCTCACTGTGTTATATTATAATGTTTAACAGTATTTTAATATAATATTGTAATATTGTATTTTAGCGATGTAAACCTATACGAAATGCTCTTTAGTAGTTGATCAGTAGGCCTTTTTGTTAAAAATAAATAAACAAATAAATAAATACAAAAATTAATATCTAGAGAACAAGGCAACTATTTTGTTATACACTAGCATTCAAATGTTGTTTTTGTTTTAAAGAAATTAATACTTTTATTCAGCTAGGATGCATTAAATTGATCAAAAGTGACAGTAAAGGCATCTATAATATTTTTAAAAAAATTCATTTCAAATTAAATGGTGTTCTTTTGAACTTTCTGTTTATCTTTAAAAAAAAGAAGCATTACGGGGTATTATAAATATTATGCAGCACAACTGTTTTCAACATTAATGATAATAATCATATTAAAATTATTTCTGAGTAATCATGTGACACTGTAGACTGGAGTAATGATGCTGAAAATTCAGCTTTGACATCCCAGGAATAGATTACATTTTACAATATTTTCAAATAGAAAACAGTTATTGTATGTTGGAATAATATTTAGCAATAATACCGTTTTTACTGTATTTTTGGATCAAAGAAAATGCAGCATTTGTGAGAATAAACGACTTATTTTAAAAACATTTACAAAATCTTACTGACCTCAAACTTTTGAAACAAAGTGCAAATGATATGTGCACTAAATTTATCATTTCTTTTTCACTTTTTTTTTTTTTTTTGTGAGTAACATTCCTTCAAATTAAATCATGATTCACTGTTTTTCAAAAACATGGATGTGAGGGATGAAGCGGTATCATCATTTGACATTTCACTGATGTCTGAGGTTGCACCTCAGTGAAAACTCCTGCCCGACTCTAACCTGCACAGCTGAGGATTTGACACAAAATGTCATCAGAACGGTCCAGTGCCAAAGACTGATGCTCACCCATAAAATGGCAAGTGTTTCAGGAACATAAGCCTCCCCAGCAGATGTTTGTCCAAGTAAGTAGGTCATCGAAATGGATTATACAACAGAAAAATTGACTGTATTGTCTGCTGCTCTAGATAAGACAAGCTTCTAGTAACAGAAAAATTCATGGGAAAATTCACAAAAGTGAACACTTCATGGCCTGAATTATGACACAACACCATTTTTAGAGTGGTTGTATAACCCCCTCCCTGCTGTGTTATTTGACTGTTAGTCATCTTTCAAACAAATCTATTTTTTTAACTGTACAAATGTTGAACCATGAATGTCTTTTATCAGTATTGTATCTCTGCATATAATAAGCCCCAGAATCTCAATCTAACATGTCTGATTCATCCTAAAATCATAATTCTGTCATAATTTCCTCACTCACGTCGTTCTAAAAGTGTATGACTTTTTCTTGTAATATAAAGGGACATTTTTTTTTTTATAAAATAGGCCTACTGGCTATATGCACTTGCAATAAATGGATTTTGGGGATTTCAAGCTTCAGAAAGCACCATAAGAGTCATAAATGAAGCCCATATATTTGTAAGCTATGAATCATTCAGACCAGTTTTGTGAGCTCGGTCCATCTATTCATTGAAAGATCTCACTTCATAGAAAAATCTGTTTGTGAGTCAGACATAGCAACTTCGTCATTTAATATCACACACAGAACTACAACTGAAGTCAAACATTTCAGTCAATAATGCAATAAATTTCATCTCGGTACTCAGTACTCAGTGTCTGTACTCCTTATTCCAGCACTTCTCATGTTATTTCCCCCTTAGCGTGAATCGCTTTGTTTCATTCCCTATTTGTAAGTCCCTTTAGATAAAAGCATCTGCTAAATGTGTAAATGTAAGCTTCAGTCTCTTCAGAACACAAAGCTATCGTATGGTTTCAGAAGACTTGGAATATAGTACACAAGGCATATACACTCATTTTATGATACTGTTATGGAGCTTGACAGCCTCATTCACTGTCCTCATTCAATTTCCTCATTCACTGTCATTAAACTGTAAACTGATATTCACAAATGTCCTGCATGACTCTCCACATTTGAAAGTATATGATTCTTAATAGTTTTTGTTATCAGTTATGTACATTTGGGTTTTATGTTACATCTTCTGTTGTTTAATGAATGTTTATTGCATTATTTTTAGTGTTGTGTGTTACCATGCTGGTGTTTTGTGTTTGCGTGAATGTGCACCTTCTATAAGTATATAATATTAGTATATATTTATATATTATAAGTATATACTCTGTGTACCTTCTATAAGTATATATATGTATTAGTATATACTTCAGTTTGTGGAAAAGCTACTTGCGATGAATTTTGATTCTTCCTGTGGCTTTCTGTTTTGTCCAAAATTATTTTGTAAAAGCTACAGAATAGTTTTTTACAGTGAAGATATAATGTCAAAATTACGTTGTAAATATGCTAAATAAAGTTGCAATTGCAGGATGTGAATTGCAGAGTTTCCAAAATGGTACTATTTCAAATAATTTCCAGAACTATTATGGCATTTTGGACTATTATGTCCACAAAAAAATAATCATGATTTTGGTAGTAGTTTGTTAGTGCTGGCTTACCTGGGCTTTTGGAGGCCAGTTTCTCTGACTCTTTGGGAGTGCGGAACAGAACAGGTTCACTCAGGGGGCTGGTGCCGCTCATGCTAATGGACTGCACATGGACAATGTATTCTGTGTCCTCCTCCAAGTCCCACAATGCACATGAACGAGTGGTGGTGTTCACTTCCTGGATGAATCGCAGCATACGAACATCCTTTTTCTATAAACATCAAAATGAATAAACATTTGACCTCGAGAGTGCTAATAATTTAAGGAGACATGTGGTTGATGCCACAAGCATTAAAGTCAATGTGAAATCAATATTTATCCTATTTACTTTTCTTATACATGTTCCTAGTCTAGTTGTGAACAATTAATCAGTGTATGTTAATCTAAAGAGAAAAAAAACTGTCATTGCAATACTTATAATAATCAGTAGGTAATATGCAACAACTCTTCTTTGTTCAACAACAAATCACTCTTCTTTTTCCACTTATTTTTCTCTCCCAATATCCAATGATCCATTTTTATCCATTTATTTATTTCTTTTTATCTTTTTTATTTATTTATTTTTGGAAGATAAAATGGGTACTTATCACCATTTAACAAATACATTTGAAAGCTCGTATTTTTAATCTTTAATTTTGCCAATACTGCAAATGATCAAACTTCTATTTTTGCTTGTTATTTAAATCTCTCATGTATTATTAAAATCAATTCCAGAACATAATCACTTTTATGTTCTATGTTTTTAATAACTTCAAATAAATAAATTGCCAATGACAAATGTTACCCCCATGAAACCCGATATAACAAATATCTTATGAATCTTTAGATATTGTTTCTCTATCATTTCTCTCTCCGTTCTGTTTGTGCATGTATGTGCATGCATCAAAAAAATGAGAGAAAAGAGAAAACTTCCATAATCACATGTAATAATACAGCTAATGTTCTACCCACTTCAAAGCAGGGTTATAAAAGTTAACAAAGTCTAAAACTAAAACCATACAAATGACAAATTACTTTTTTGAAATAAAATAAAAAATAGCTGAAATAAATCTCATTTTCATTTTGCTGTGCATCAAAGCACAGAGACAGCGCTCATTAAGATAATAAATTATATTCACTTTAATTCTGATTCTGGCAAAATATCAGTGCTGGTACTACTAGATCTTAGTGCTGCGTTTGACACAGTCGATCATAACACACTTCTAGAGAGACTGGAAAACTGGGTCAGGCTTTCTGGGATGGTTCTCAGGTGGTTCAGGTCATACTTAGAAGGCAGAGGTTATTATGTGAGTATAAGAGAGCATAAGTCTAAGTGGACATCCATGACATGTGGAGTCCCACAAGGCTCAATTCTTGCACCGCTTTTGTTTAGCCTGTAAATGCTCCCACTAAGTCAAATAATGAGAAAGAACCAA